GTTATATAGTCTGGTCATGAAACGTCCTCCTCCTCGTCACATCCCCACCTCCTTTCAGGCACTGAGGATGTTACCTAACCAAATCGTTAGAATAGAGCTGGAGATTTAGAATTGATGAATGAGCTGGAAAGGACCTTGGAGGTTTTCTAATCCAGCCTCTCTGCTCAAGCAGGAGATCCTATATCATTTGGCAAACGCCTGCAAGGAAACAACCCAGCTCAGGGAGACCCCAAGGACCCCCCCTCATTGCAAAACAGGGTGAACTTTCGCCCATTCCCTGCTTTGCAACGTTCACGGGATCCCCTTGAAAGCAATTACCGAGGAAGCACAACAAACAGGTAGGACACCGGGTAAGATGACCCCTTTCATCCCCGGTTTGGGCCTAAGGTCAGGTCCTGGGGTGGGGTCAGAAAGCAGGAGGCTCTCATCCTTGGGACTCCCCGTCCGACACCCGAGGACAGTTCACCCAGTTCTGGGTCAGCCGGGCACTTCGCCAGCAAAGGACGAGCAGCGCAGGCCTGTGGCGGGTCCCGGGTGGACTACAACTCCCACCCACGCGACGGGCGTGTGACGTCACAGGTCCCGGGGCGACCCACCTGTGCGCGAAGCCCCCCCGCTGCGACCCACGCTCGTCGCAGCGCCCCAAAAGCAGCCATGGTCTCTTGGCTTGACCGGCCGCCTGGTCACGTGACCGGAACTCGGGCCGGAAAGGACGCGACGCTCTTCCGAGGCCGCCGCAGCCCTCTTGGTTACGGGCACGTGGTTTTACATCTCCCGGGAGAGGCGGTCTCTAGGCTTCCTTCTTAAGGAATCAAAGTCGAGGAGCGAAAAAAACAAAACAAAAATAAAATAACGACTCGGAGAGTGAAACGCCCTCTGGGAAACGGGTAAAGGTTAAGCAGACTTTATCTACCGTGGCCATGTTTGTCACGGGCACGTCGAGCCTTCCTTTTTGGAGGAGTGAAGCCATGGTTTTGCAGGCGAGGAAGAACGGAAGCGGAACTGCGGCCATGTTTCTCTCGGGCAACAATGCCTTTATGTGATAGGTCCGCGCAATCTCATCCAGCCTAGCTACGTTACGTTTCAACTCCGGCGACTTCGCGTCGTTAGACTTCAACTCCCAGAATTCCTCAGTGTACGCTTCTTAAAGCGGCAAAGATTGGAAGACCTTACAGTAGCTCGTTCGGTTTCATTCTACCAAGTGGCCACGGGAGGGAGCTGTTGTACGCGTTACTTCCGAGTTATTCGTGCTAAATTAGGAGTTCGTTAATTAATTTAGGAGTGTAACAATTCAACAGGCTGGATCAACAGCAGCGCCCCACCGTGGCCATTTGGTAGAATGAAACCCAAAGAGCAGCACGCTTTTAACGGGATTGTTCCCTAGTTTCGACCTGACACTCTTGATTTGTAAGTTTTTTTACTTTTAATTTCTGCTTTGCCAACAATTTAGTGGTACCCATGCAAGATCCTGGTTAGGGTCAAGGGTTTGGGTTAGGTTTAGTTTACTTTAGTTTACTTCATTGTCATTGCACCTCGTACAATGAAATTAAATGCTATCTTCAGTGTACATTAGAATTATGAAAATAAACACAAACACACATCCTTCACATTCTATACATTGGATTGAAAACCCCTGATATTTGTCCTTATTTTTATTATTGTCCTGTACCGTCTGCCAGATGGTAATAGTAAGGTGACCAACTGTCCCCCTTTAGTCCTCTTTTTGTAAGTTCTGTCCTCTCTCAGAAATGTGCTCCTACATGTCCTCCTTTTGGATATTTGAAGACTAATCTGTAAATCTCCGTATTTCAGCCGATCCGATCCTTTGTGTGTGATGTGATGTATTTGAATTTGACATGACGATTCATCAAGGCTTGGTACACTGCGGCGAGACGCAATTGTGAGACGCATGCGCTCCACGCAGGAGAATTGTTTTGAAAGAGTGCTGCATGCAAGAGTGCTTTGTTTTTTTTTTCCTTCAATTTATTTGTGTCCTGCTTCTCATTGTAAAAAAGTTGATCACCTTAGTAATAGTTCAAAAAAAAAAAGGGTGCCCAGGATGAGATGGATCTTTGAGAATGTTTTGAACTTTCTTAAGGCAGTGGGAGCTATAAAGCTCTTCCAAAGAGGGGAGAGGGCAACCCATGATCTTCTGGGCAATGACGTTAACCCTCTGGAGTGCTTTCCTATCTGCCCCTGTGCAATTGGCAAACCATACAGAGGTGCAATATGTTAATTTGCTCTCTATGGTGCAGTGGTAGAAGGTCACCAGCAGTTTTTTATTCAGTTGGTATTTTCTGAGAACCCTCAGGTAGTATAATCTCTGCTGGGCCCTTTTGACCCGGACTGCAATGTGAGCACCCCCAGGTCAGGTTCTCTTTTAGAGTAACACCCAGAAACTTAAAACTGGCCACTTGCTCCACTCGGTCTCCATTGATAAGCAAGGGCGTGGTGTCTGTTCTGCTTTGGGTCAGGATTAGGGTTAGGGGTTAGGGTTAGAGCTTACTGTTAAGTTTGACTGGTGTTTTGATAGAATAGAATAGAATAGAATAGAATTATTTATTGGCCAAGTGTGATTGGACACACAAGGAATTTGTCTTGGTGCAAATGCTCTCAGTGTACATAAAAGAAAAGATACATTTGTCAAGAATCAAGAATCATAAGTTACAACACTTAATAATAGTTATAGGCTACAATAAGCAAACAATTCATACTAGGAAACGGTCAATAAAAATTGTTAGGATACAAGCAACAAGGTTACAATCATACAGACATACATGGGAGGAGATGGGTGAAAGGAAGGATGGGAGGATTAATAGTAATGTAGACTTAGTAAATATTTTAACAGTGTTGAGGGAATTATTTGTTTAGCAGAGTGATGGTATTTGGGGAAAAAACTGTCCTTGTGTCTAGTTGTGCTGGTATGCAGTGCTCTATAGCGTCGTTTTGAGGGTAGGAGTTGAAACAGTTTATGTCCAGGATGTGAGGGGTCTGTAGATATTTTCACAGCCCTCTTTTTGACTCGTGCAGTATACAGGAAGCATATCAATGGAAGGCAGGTTGGTAGTAATTGTTTTTTCTGCAGTCCTAATTACTCTCTGAAGTCTCTGTCTGTCTGTCTCCTTGGGTTGCAGAGCCAAACAAGTGTCCAATAACATCTTTGATCTTCGAATGAATAGATGGTCCAATTGGATCTTGAGATGGAAGAAGACAAAATCATATTGACGTCCTCATCCTCTGTAACAGATTCTGAAAATATATAGAGGTGGAATTTGTGAGAAAAAGATGAAGTAAAGGTTGTGATGTATTCATGTATTAATAAGTTTATACTTATATCTGTTATCTAATACAGTGGTCACCAACTGGTGGGCCATGGCCCACTTGTGGGCCGTGAGAAAATTTTGATGAGCCGCAAAGAAATCTCACCCCCAGAGCACCCCCCCCAAAGCAATTAATCCAGGCTGTGCTGAAACGCAAGTCTGCGCCACCTACATGGCCTGCAGGAACCCTCCCTGCCCACTCACTCCTTACCCGGCAAACTTGCCTGCTAAATTGCTATTTTTCCTTTTTCTGACCCTCATCTGTTCTGCTGTGCTGGGAGATTTAGAATTAGCTACGAAGCAGGAAATGGTTGGATTTCTTGCTTTCTAGCTAGTCTTTAGATCCTCGGCTCTGCTTTTAAGCACAGCCAAACCTCCCTTAGGACTGAAGGTTCTATTATTCAGTGCAGACTCATGGCAAGCAAATTTTATGTGACAGACTGAGCTAGCCAATGGCAGAGAGATAGATCACTGAATGAATCTGTGATTCTGTGGGCAGCTCAATCTGCCTGCCTACTTTGCCTGATTTTGGGTAAAAGTTGCTCTCTTTTTTTTTAATAAAAAATTCAATATTTACATACATGGTGTGTTTTGAGTTAATTTTGTAAGTTTGCTTGCTAGCAAATTTTATGAGTTTGCTTGCAAGCAAATTTTATGTGACAGACTGAGCTAGCCGATGGCAGATAAATAGATCTCTGAATGAATCTGTGATTCTGTGAGCAACTCAATCTGCCTGCTTGCTTTGCCTGATTTTGGGTAAAAGTTGCTCTTTTTAAATAAAAAATTCAATATTTATATAAATATTTATAATACTTACATACAAGCCATGCCCAGCAAGTCACATGACCACCAAGCCACACCTAAAAATTAGGCCACGCCCACAGAATTGGTTAGTGGTCCCTGGGATTTAAAATTATGAGTTTGTTGGTCCCTGAGGTCCAAAAGGTTGCCAACCCCGGTCTAATACATGCTCGACAAATTAAAAAAAATAAAATAAAATAGATATTATGATGCAAGCTATATTGTGACACAAGCTTGAAATTCGTGGAATTTGCATGGAGAAACATTCAGACTATCAGTTCTCAAGAAGCTTCTTGGATGAGAAGTGAAACGTATTCAAGGAAAAAATATCAACGACACCCAGAAAAAAAATATCTTTGGAACAACCAGGAAGTACCAGAGATTGCATGGATGATTGAGAATCTCTACAGACAAAGATCTTTAATCCTGCAAATTTTGGATGCCTAATAATAAACAGGAAGTCATAAAGCATGAGAAGGAATGAAGTATGTGTATGTGTCTTTGGCCTTCGTAAGTATTTCCTTCCACTTTTCTCTGTCAGAGAAAATTGCTAATGTAAAATACAAAGAATACACCTGCTAACACCCGTTTTAAAAAAGCCAACTTGGAGCTGGGAGAAAATTATTGCCTGTCTGTGTTCTCCATTTCAAACACCGATTTGTGCTGCTTCTTCCTTGTTCTTTTTTCAGCCCCTCTTCAGATCCCAATTAAAACAATATTTTAAATGCATTTTTGGGGTGGAGAATTGTTTTAGGAAGCAGGGAGAGGTTTCAAAGTCGCAATGCAATTTAAACTAAACTGAGTGCATTCATCCCAGGGTCGATGAAGGAAGCCGTTCATTAGGTGCAGAGACTAGAAAAACTAAAAACATGGATATAATTTTTTTAAAAAAATGTTGCCCTTGTGAGAACACATAAATACTCAAGGGGATTCATTGGGGAGATATCTATAGGTAGTCCTCACTTAACAATGGCAGTGGAAAGTGGATTTTTTTGGCCCAGTGTCCCAGTTTTAAGTCCGTCATGCGATCTCTGGCGCTTCCTGGCTGCCATTGCTAAGTGAATCATTTTGGGTTATTACTTTCGTGGTGTGGAGACAAAAACTTGGTCCTCAACACCAATAAGACCAAGGAGCTTATAGTGGATGAAGAAGGAACAAATCAGACATCCAGCCCTTGCTTATCAATGGAGACTGAGTGGAGCAAGTGGCCAATTTTAAGTTTTGGGTGTTACCATCAAAGAGGACCTGACCTGGGGTGCTCACATTGCAGCCCTGGTCAAAAGGGCCCAGCAGAGATTATACTACCTGAGACTTCTCAGAAAACAACAACTGAATGAAAAACTGCTGGTGACTTTCTACCGCTGTGTTAAGTTCGGAAAGAAGGGAGGCCACACCAGAGCTTCAGTCATAACACACGCTTTATTCATGGGAATAAAGGGGGCTGTCGCGTCTGCAGCTAACAGCAGACCTACCAGCGAACAGCAGCTGGCTCAACCTAGCAGCCGGCTTTTATAGCCGACTGTCGAAGGGAGCCAGCCAATGGGGA